GTGGCCCTTACCATTGCCTATTTGCACTAGGATCTCTGTGAAACGTTGCTCGGGATTCCCGCCCCCTCCCACCCCTGCTTGGGAGTGGGCGGGTTGGCCTGGGGGAATTCCTGAGGAGAGACTTTAGAAGGGAGAAGAGTTATGCTCATGGAAACTGGTTCTCCTTACTTCCTGATACTTCCTCTAGATAAGCCTGCAGTTTCAGAGATTTCCAGCGTTGTTTGTTGCCTTCACTTGTTTGTGCTGACCCATACTGGGGCTCTATCCAGGCTACTTGCTGCCCCCCGCCTTTTACGGAGGGGTCTGTGAGGGGCCCTGGGGAGACCCCTGGGAGGGGACTCCCTGTGGGGGCTTAGTGCCTAGTATCCTCAGGTATAACCCGGTGGATGTGTGAATATTTTGTATGTTTAACCTGATCAGGTGCCAACCATTTACAGATATTTTCTACAAGCTGGTTGTGGTTTAATTGCTCAGAGACCCATTGCCGAGCCTATTTGGTTTTTTTTTCCCCTCCCCCCCCACTCTCTCTGTCTCTCTCTCCTCTTTTCTCCTTTCCTTTCCCTCCCTCCCTCCTTCCTCCTGGTTATCCTGCGCTACTGCCTTTTTACTTCTCTCCTATTCCGCCTGCGCACTGGGACATGGAGGAACTAAAATTGGTCACCATTAATGCCAAGGGCCTTAATACTCCTGAAAAAAGGAAAACACTATTACAAGACCTCAGGAAATGGGGATCCCATGTGGCCTTCATACAGGAAACCCACTTCAGAGCTGACGCTGCCCCTACACTCAGAGATTTCCGTTACCCGCTCTCCTACCACTCCTGCAATGAGTTGTCCAAATCCAGAGGGGTATCTATAATGCTTTCTAGATTAGTTCCATGGACGTTCATGGACTGTCAGACTGATGCTGAGGGTCGATACCTGTTCTTGAAGGGCAAGATAAGTCTCACGGCGGTCACATTTGCGGTGATATACGCCCAAAACTCCAACCAGGGGGTTTTCCTAGAAAGTATCCTGGACAAACTACTGACCTATACTGAGGGGATTCTGATTCTAGAGGGAGATTTCAATCTCTCGCTGGATCCGTCCCTAGACTCATCCTCGAGATTGTCCTCCCTCTCCCCGACGGCTAGTAGACGCATTCTCCGATCTCTCCATCGCTTGGCGTCAACAACATCCGACTGTAAAAGACTACACCTTCTATTGTACACCACACGACACGTACTCTAGGTTGGATATGTTCTTTGTTCCCCACCAGTACTTAGCGCTGATAACCGCCACAGACATTGGCAATATCACGTGGTCGGATCACGCCCCGGTCTTCATACACATTGCTTTGTCTGACCACCCCTCACGTAACTCGTGGCAGTGGCGCCTTAATGACAGCCTCCTACAAGACCCGCTTATCCTGACCGATGTCACTAGAGAACTGCGCTCCTACTTTGACCTCAATGACGTAGGGAATTGTGACCCGATCCTCCTCTGGGAAGCACACAAAGTCTTTATTAGAGGTGTTTTGATTAAACATGGCTCACGAGTTAAGCGTCAGAGGGAGGCCAAACTACTAGATCTCTTGCACACCCTCCATGGCCTGGAACTTCGACATAAATCGACCGGCTCACCTACCTTACTAGCTGACATTCTCTCCATACGCCAACAGATTAACTCGCTGACCTCCTATAAGGTAAAAACGGCACTTATACGTTGTAGAGACGGAAATATTATGAATCTGGTGATAAATGTGGGAAACTTCTAGCTAGAGCACTGAGAGAACAACGACAGCTCTCTTACGTACCACATGTGGTGACACCTCACCAAGCAAAAATGTCCCTCCCGAAAGCTATAGCTAATGCCTTCCGAGACTACTACTCCAAATTATACAACCTGCATCCCACACCCGATTCTACACATCGGAGCGCTTTGCAGGTTAAGATCGCCTCTTATTTATCCTCGAGCGCTGTGCCATCTCTAGATGGGCAAATTAGATGGCACAGCGCTCGAGGATAAATGGGCTCCCATAACATCGGATGAGTTTAACGCGGCCCTTAAATCCACAAAGACCGGGAAATCACCTGGCCCCGACGGCTTCACGACTCAATACTACAAGCTTTTGACCACAGAACTGGTAGGCCGCTTTACAAAGGCTTTCAACGCCTTGTCCTCCACTTCTCGGCTTACTAGAGACTCTTTGTTCGCCCATATTTCAGTGATTCCAAAAGATGGCAAAGACCCCTCCTCTTGTAGCAGCTACCGTCCTATATCTCTTCTGAACACCGACCTGAAGCTATTCACCAAAATATTAGCGACCAGATTGAGCCCTTATATGCCTGACCTAATACACTACGACCAAGTTGGGTTTATCCCAGCTAGGTGAAGCTCGTGATAACACCATCAAGACCTGCCATCTGGTTCACTACGCGGCGACATCCAAAACACCTTGCCTCTTTCTTTCTACCGATGCCGAAAAGGCCTTCGATCAGGTCTCCTGGGATCAGCGGAATACAAAGTATCTGCGTACGCGGATGACCTGATGTTCTCCCTCACCAATCCGGTAATCTCCCTACCTAATCTCATGCAGGAATTTGCGACATATCGCAAGCTATCCAATCTGAAGATCAATTTTGGCAAATCAACTGCCATGGAGATCTCACTCCCGACTCCACTGACTTGCTCCCTGCAGAATAACTTTCATTTCCAGTGGACGGCCCGAGCGTTGAAATACCTGGGCACGTTCATACCTCCGGACGTGAAAGACACTTTTACCTACAATTTTCTACCCCTCTTGGTGCAGGTACGCACGCTTCTTTCCAATTGGCAGAATGGCTTCTTTTCCTGGTTTGGACGGTGCAACGCCATCAAAATTACTATTCTGCCTAAATTCTTGTACCTCTTTCAAGCCCTGCCTATAACGATCCCCGACGGGTACTTTCGCCAGGTTAACTCTTTGTTAACAAAGTTTATCTGGGCTAATCGCCATCCTCGTTTGAGCTACTCCCTCCTGACCTTACCTAAAACCTAAAAACTCCCTTCCTGACCTACGGAAATACTATATAGCTAGCCATCTGGTTCACTTGGTTGACTGGTGTAGACATTCGCCTACAAAACAATGGGTGCCTCTGGAGGAATCCTTTTCGCCCTGCCTCCTGGCTAGGGCGGCATGGTGTCCCTCGACTCTCCCCCCCTCGCTTAGGACCCACCCACTGATCGGTGCTACATTGGCAGTGGGCTCGAGAGCGCTCACCAGGTGGCGTTTGATTGGTGAGGCTTCCCCGCTCTACCCAATTATAGGTAATCCTGCCTTTCCGCCGGGAACCTTGTCTGGCCCTTTCCGATCCCTGATCGCCAAAAACCTCTTTCAGTCATCCCATTTTATAAGTGGGGGTACGTGGCCCTCCATGGCATCTCTTACCGATCCCGCCGGAATCTTTGGCTTGGATCAATGGAAAGCGTACCAACTGAAACACTTCCTATTTACCTTACCACCGGCAGCGTGTTTTGGACCCGCACATACATCTTTTGAGAGGCTGTGCGATTCCGGGGGCCCGACGAGACATACTCTATCAGAGATCTACGCCACTCTCTCAACGCCGTTAGAGATCGGGAAACCTGCATTCCTGACACGCTGGGAACAAGAGCTAGGGATCACTCTCTCAGACATACAATGTCAGAATATTATTCATTTTACTCTGCGATCATCGATCTGTACTAAATATCAGGAGACTAATTACAAGATCCTCACGAGATGGTATCGAACACCAGAGCTCTTACACAGAATGTATGGTGGAGTTGCCAACGTCTGCTGGAGATGTAATGCGGACGGGGGTACTCTACTCCATATTTTCTGGTCTTGCCCAGCATTGGTACATTTCTGGTCCACGGTTCGCGACATTGTGAAGAGGTTTATGGACTCTGACTTACCATTAGACCCCACAACTTTCCTGCTACATAACATCCCTATGTCCAAGAAAGCCTATTCCCGATCTGTAGTGCGTCACTTGCTAGATGCAGCAAAATCCTGCATTCCTAGCCTATGGAAGAACCCCTCCCCCCCTACAATACCTATGTGGATACGCAGGGTGGAGGAGATTAGGGTGATGGAGGACATGATTCTGTCTTCTCAAGGCAGGCAGGAGCGTTACTCTAGGACGTGGTTCTACTGGCTGGAGTACATTGATTCCCTTGAAGGCCGAGCGCACTCTGTATGATACTTCTCCTTTAACCGGCTTACTAGGGAGCGCTCCGTGAGTGACCCTTCAGGTGGGCCCTGCCATGTCCGAGTGATCTATACCTTCTCTTACACACTAGCTTGCTGGTACTGCCCTTCCTTCCTCTCATCTGTAAACCTCGCCCCTTTTCCCTCTTCTGTCCTGCTGCTGTCTGATGTCCTCCCCTCCCCTCAATCCCCGGAAGCAACCAGGTGGACCCCTTGGTTCACACACCATTGTCTATCGAAATTGTTGTCCATTACACACTAAGACATGTCAGATATGCATTGCAATCACCCCAAACGCCCAGATACTGCACATGATATTATGCTACTCCCGCTTGATCCTTGACTAATTAAGCAACTAGGGCTAGGAGAAATAGACATGCTTCCTACGTTTGTACCTGCATGGCACCTTTAACTGAATGTATATGTATTATATGTTTTCTGTAAATTGTTTGCTCAAAAATAAAAACTAATTAAAACAAAAAAATATGTGCAAAAACCAATAAGGGTTTAATAACCCTTTAATGCAATTTAGGCTGTTCACTTTGCAAGGCAAGTTTCCCCTTAGTTTAGAACTTAGTAGGCAAAACTCTTGTTAGTTTAGAACTTAGTAGGCAAAACTACTGTTTATTTTTTTCCTTGCACATAATTCTGAAAACGCTATGCGTGTATGCGCACAGCAAATCTACAGAGCTCCAGTCTTTCTGAGCACCGGAAGTGAGGTGGTTCGAGATTTCGATGAGTTGGAGCTTTCGATAGTACACCAGTCACACTGGTGGGCGGATCTTAAGTCTCCTGACCAGAATGGAGACAAACTATCAGTTTTCTAGCCGGATGTGATGCTGCTTAGTATCGGAAGCAGGGGCGGGTTCAAATGAGGGAGCTGCTGGAGATCGGTAAGCGAAGTTGGGAGAGGCCGAGGCCGGGGCCTGCAAAACTACCGGGGATATGCGAGGTGCAGCGGCAGAAGAGGAGGCCGCGTCCTATAGGGTGCTAAGCCGGCTGCTGGGCTGCGGAGCGGAAACAGGCGAAGAGGCTGCTCGACCCAGGCTCATGGTGTTTCGGAATACACTTCGGGGGGAGGAGGAGGCTTCAATAGAAATGGGGGCCGGGGAGAAAGCTGTGCCTGCACAGGGTGCTACTCAGCCGGCTGCAATGTGTCGCCACCGTAAAACTGCGCATTCCGGGGAGGAAGGTTTGGAGTTGCAGCTGGGAGCGCTGGGACTGCGGGGGGCTGGCTGCCCCTGTGAAGAGACTAGCGATGCGCTGTTGGTGCTGGAGGCGCCTGAAGCTAGGAGGTTGGAGGAAGAGGACGACGGGGAGACTGGACAGGCTGGTGCGTCAGCCAGGAAAGGAACTGGATTTAAAGGCTCGTTCAGGATTCGCCTCTCCAGGATCTTCCGCACCAAGAGTTGTGCCGGAGCTGGAGGAGCCGTTGATAGGAGAGGAGCTGGAGAGCTGGGAGGATCAGGTGGCAGCCTGACTGATATGTCTGGGGACAGGGAGCTGGGCAGGTGAGAAATGTAATTTGTTTTTGTCTAGGGCTCTGAATGGATTCTATGATTGACTTACTAGTGCTGGGGCACCATTATGCTATGTTGCAGTATGCCTAGCTTTATTAAAGTCAATTCCTCCCCCCCATTCTGCTGTAGGGTCTTGCCTTAAATGATGTCTCTTAATCCGATCATCTTCTTTCCTGTCCTTTTTCAGCTGTCATTCCAGCGCTGGGTGCGGGTCTCCGATCCAGCGCTGACTCCTCTGTCGTCCTCTTCTCTCATGTCCCACAGTGTCTGTGCGGGTGCATGCTGCTCCATAGACTTACCTTGTGTTTCTCCTCGTCTCCCGGCCAAACATCTGGAGTGCGCATGCGCCTGCCCCAAGATCCTTTGCGGCCGCCCGAGACTCTTCAGATGTCCGGACGGGAGCACGCTGCAAAGACACAGGTAAGTATTAACCCTTTTTAAAACATTTTTTCTAATGTTTTTGCATATATCTACTGCTTGCTAGAAGTAGATATATACAAAAACGCACGAGAGTTTAACAACCCTTTAATGCCTAACACTAAGCTGCTTTTAAATGTTCTTATACAGTGGGGTTTCCCTGTATGGAATAAGTAGAAATACTTGCCTTATTACTTGATCTTCTGAGCCAGAGCCCTCCTCCTCTGTCTGACGTGTCCTTCATTGGGGCTCGTTTACACCAGCCCGCGCGTCTACTGCAATGTTATGTACACAGAACGCAAGGGATCGCATAAATAAAGTCTCGAGTTCTCGGGCAAGAGGGGGCGGGCCAGTGCCATTCAAATCAATGGCATTGCAGCCATGCCCAACACCCGCAGTACGATCGGCCGCACAGGAATGTGTGGTAATAAAAAACCCCGTGTTCCAGTGCAATACAATCACAAAAATAGTGCATGCACAGAACATCGCGGCAGACCCGCAGGCTGGTGGAAACAAGTCCTTAAAGTGACATTAAACCCTCAGATTGTTTAACATAAACCAATACTGTAATGTGTGCCTTACTGTAATCCATGGTAGTTTCCCTTCTCTTTGCTGCTCTTCCTTTTAAATGCTTATCTCTTCTCATGCTGTGGGAGAACTTCCCTTTGCAGCTGAGTGCCTCTTCCTGTAGTGCTGGCACAGGTTGTGAACCTTCACACAGACACCATGTATCCATTTCAGAGACAAGGCAGTCTGCTGCAAAACAGAAGTTCTGCCCAGCATGAGAAGAGATACGGATTTAAAAGGAAGAGCAGCAAAGAGAAGGGAAACAACCATGGATTACAGTAAGGCACACATTACAGTATTTTATGTTCAAAAATCTGAGGGTTTAATGTCACTTTAAGGAGAAAGAACTGAGGGCAATTTCTGGCTGACGTGTCATTCGTTAAGGAAGAACTGAGGGCAATTTTTATCTTAAAGTGACATTAAAGCCAAAAAATCCCCCATGCTAGAGTAAGGACTTGCCTTAATTGATGCCTCTTGATCCGATCATCTTGTTTACAGTAGTTTTCAGGAGTCCCTCCAGTGCTAGTGCCGGTCTCTGATCCAGTGCTGACTCCTGTCTCTTCCTGTCCCACGGAGTCTGTGCGGGTGCACACTGCCTGCATTAACTTACCCTTTGTCTCTCCTCTTCTCCCGGCCGAAGATCTGTACTGCGCATGCGCCCGCCCAGTGTGCCTTTGCGGCCGCCCTAGAATCTTCAGATCTTGAGTGGAGACACAAGTTTTAACCGTTTTTGTAATTTAAAAAATAAATAAAATGTTTTTGCTAGGGCTGGTAATGATTACAATTTTTGTGTTCGATTAAGCGAAATTTTTTGTAATCGATTAATTTCGATTAATTATAAGCCATTATTATACAGCCAAGGGAACTGTATAACTGGAAGACAAAAAGAAAGAGAAGGGCGCCCACCCTAGTGCAGATGGTTCTTTGTTTATAAATAGCAAAATAGAGTGCAAAGGTATTCACAACGGTAGATCGATTAGAAGCATAAATGTGCCGTCCATATTGGCACACAGGCTGATTGAAGTTTGTAAACTGATGTATCCTTGAACTACTCATTTATGCTTCTAATTGATCTACCATTGTGAATACCTTTGCACTCTATTTTGCTATTTATAAACAATAAAGAACCATCTGCACTAGGGTGGGTGCCCTTCTCTTTTTTTTTGTAATGCCTTACCTGTTTGAACGGTTGAGCTGGATGCTGTGGTACTGGTGGTTGAATCGGTGGTGTTGGAGATCGAGGGGGTGGTCACTGCCGCAGCGGCTGCTGCCGAAGTGGCTACGTCGGCTAATGAAGGGAAGGGGGAGGAGCCCGGTGACGTCACCGGATCTCCGAGGAACTCCCAGAAGCCGGCGGGAAAGGTGAGTTCCGATCAAAATAATTTTGATCGATCAAAAAAATTAACGATGAATCGAAGGATTAATCGTTAATTTCCGCAGCCCTAGTTTTTACATATATCTACTGCTTGCTACCAGTAGATAAATGCAAAAACACGTGAGGGTTTAATCATCTTTTAACCCTTGTAGTGGGGCTACCCCTGCACTGCAAGGGTAAACTGCTTGTTTTGGTCTAGGTGAAAAAATAAGTTATTCTCACCCAAACCACCGAGCTGGACGGCTATCATCGTGCTTCCTGCAGCCTCTCTCCTCCAATGCTGCAGCGATGGTATGTCCCTCTGTGTCCTCACGTCTATATACTGTGTATAGAACGTGATGACACCTGCAGTCTGCTATCCTATCCGGTCTACGCTGCAGCGCAAAAGGAGACACTGGAAGGACCAGTCTAGGAAAAAGCCGGCTCAGGTTTGGGTGAGCTATCTAGATCTGTGGTTCAACTGGTGGGTCAAGACCCAAAAGTGGGACCCAAAGTCCTGTTCAGGGGGTCACTGCATGCCTTCCACTGTGCTAGGTGCAAAGGAGCTCCATCCATACGTGCATTGCTTACGGCTTCCTCGCATGTCCTGTGAGGTGCCTGGGCTGGAGTGACGTCACATTCTGGCTTCTGGCACCTCTACAGGGCGCACAAGGGAGCTGTATAAGCAATGCATTTGAATGGCACCCCCAAACACACCTGCCATTACTTCGATCGACGCAACTGCAATGCCATGCATTTCAGTGCGGTGCGACTTAATGACTAAGGACAAATGTGGGTTCTAAGGTTTTACAGGCTGAGAACCACCGATCTAGATGAACATGAGCAGTTAACCCTTGCAGTGCAAGGGTTAATAAAAACTTTGCCCTCATAGCTGTAAACGGCTGGGCAGTGAAGGGGCTTTGGGGGGCTGGCTGCCTGCAGAGGAAGGCTGTAGGAGCGAGTATTTAGTTAACCACCTCCCGTCCATGGCCATTCCTGAACGGCCGGACGGGAATCTTGTCGGAATGAGAGGGCGTCTTAAGACGTCCTGCCCCTCCCCCCCGCTCGTGCTCCACGCGAACACAAGTGGGGAACTGTTACAAATGTAAACAGCCAGCAATGGCAGTTTATATTCAAGCAATCGGGCGTCTCTAGAGATGCCCGATCGCTTGCAGTAGCTGGGTGTGCGCCCCTCCCCCGTATCTTCGCCGCTGCCGGTCCCGAGACCTGCTGTGCCCACTGCGGCTGGGACCGGCACGGCAACACTGTCAGTGGAGATCAAAGGGAGGTCAGTACACAATCTCCCTTTTGATCTCTTCTCGGTCCCCGAATGCAGGAAGTGATGTATATTACATCACTTTCGGCATTCAGTGTCACACTCCGGTTACAGATGCCGGTGAGAAGCTGTTGAAGCAGATCTCTGCTTCATCAGCTTCTCTGGGGGTCGCTAGGTGACATTAGGGGTCTTAGAGACCCCTGATGTCTCCATAAAGAGGACCTGTCAGTGGGCCTTTGCTAATATATAGGGGATTGTATCTCCCTATGTAATAGCAATAACAATAAGTGTAAAAAATTAAATGAATAAATAAAAAAGTACCCCCCCCCCAAAAAAAAATGTTTAAGCCCCCCTCAATTTTAAGGCTTGACATGTTTGGTGTCTTTTATATTTTACCAAAAAATTGGGTAATAAATGTTTTAGAATTTAATATTGGGAAACATTTTTGTTTTTACATTTTCTGTAATTTTTCCTTAATATATTAAAAAAATAAAAACCCCAGTGGTGATTAAATACCACCAAAAGAAAGCACTATCTGTCCCCAAAAAAGGGTATAAAATTAATTTCAGTACAGCGTTGCATGACAGAATAAATGTCAGTCAAAATACCGCAGCGCTGAATACTGAAAAATGGCCTGGATGGGAAGGGGGTTTAACACCCCAGACTTCAAGTGGTTAAAATGGACTTTCAGTGCGTTCCAGGGTATATGCATGCGTTTTTGATGCGTTTGCATGCGTTCCAGAGCAGTTAAAAAAGGGCCTGCTGCAGGTTTTTTACCTGATCTGGAACGGAACGCTGCAATGTGAACTGGAGCTAAAAATACCATTGGAATACATTGGACGCAGTTTTGCTCCGGTCTGTAACTGCTCTGCTCCTGGAACGCGCTTGATGTGAACAAGGCCTTAAAGTGATGGTTCAATTTCAAGTCCTGAGCTACTAGCCAGGCCTTAAAGGAAAACTATGAGGTGAGTGCTTTTCACTTACCTCATAGTTCTAGCCGAAATGTGAAAATGAGACTGTCACAGGTCGGCTCAGTAGATCGGGAGGTGAGCGAACACATACCGGCGTTCGCTCACCTCGATCCTGTCAC